TGGAAGAGAGGAAAGGAGATGTGGAATTTTTTGAGACCATGTTATAACAAGATTGATGTCATAACAAGATTGATGTCTAGGTCATCTTATCCCACTTCAAATTTGTATTTCTCTCAAGTGTCAAAAATTTAGCTCTTGTTAGATGGAAATATGTTTAATGGTGATCTTGTAATCAATGAAATGGCCAAAAGAATGAAAGAAAAGTTTAATAAGTATTGAAATGATTATAGTACTATCCTTGCAATTGCAACTATGCTTGATTCACAAATGAAAATCCAAATGATACAGTATATGTATGCCAAGATTGATCTTATAAGTTGTCATGCGAAGATTGAAAATATCCAAAGCAAATTGAAATATATTTCTAATCAATATAAAGAGATGACTTCTACTTCTAATCTTAGAGTTGGATCAAGTTCAACAATGGTAACGCATGGAAATCAAGCTTAATCCTCCATTACTTTTAGTGTTTCAACAAGAACAAGTAATATTCAATGGGTTTTAGATGTAAGTTTATTTTTCCCCCATATTTTTAATCTTATTTTAATTTTTTAAGAGATATACTACTTCAAATTTTTACATAATGCAGGATTGGATTAATTATACAAGCATGAATTTTATGTTTGTTACAAGTTTGAGCTGGAATTTTATTTGGAGAAAGTAATACTTTAGCCTCATGTGTATCAAGAATTAGATGTACTTAATTGGTGAAATACTAATAAGGGTAGATTTTCAATTCTTTTAAAGATAGCAATTGATATCCTTAATATTCCAATCACGATAGTGGCAAGTGAATCAGCATTCAGCATTGATTCTTGTGTTCTTATAGAATATCGAAGTACTATTCTTTTTGATAATTTTTAAGCTCTTATTTGCACTCGTAACTAGTTGCATGATTTTCAAGATGATGATAATATATGATTATTCTGATATACATTTTTCTTTCTTGATTAGAAATTAATTTCATTAAATTATGTTATAAAATTTTTTCACTCATTGCATATAATGAAATGGTGATTGAAAATGAGAGGAAATAATCTGAATAAATTTGAAATGTTGATGTGACTGCTATTGAGAGTTCATATGTAGCTTTAGATGATAATGACAATATCAATCAAGAGAGTCAAGAGGAATAGAAAATTAGAAAAAAAAATGACAGTATGCTGTTATGAACTGTATTGTGAAATTTTCATCTTTCTTTGTGAAGGAATTATGCAATTATGTAATATTAAACTCTTACTTTTAAGTTGTTTGAACCCTTCTAAGCTTTATTGGTAGCATGCTTTTATTGTTAAATTAAGAAATTAACTTTCTAAATTTTGTTATTAATATTAATGTATTTTTTATGATTTATTACATATATTTTACTAATCTAGAATACGTTGTTATGTTCATATTGTTTGGAAAAAAATTAAATTTTAAATTACAAATTAAAATCAGTTCAAAGAAGGCAAAACAAAATATTTTTTAAAAGTTTTGAGTATTCAAGCTAGCCTGAATAAGCCTGAAGTCCGAAGATATTAGAGTTAAACTTGACTATATGAACTTTTTAAAAGGAGTAGAATACTTAAAATCTGATTCGAATAAGCTCAGCTTGCTTGAATTACCGGCTATGAGTCTCCCCCCTTCTCTTCCATAACTAATATTTTATTCTAAATTGTAAGTCTAAATGATATAACATGATATTATTATTTGGTGGTCCTGTTTTTTCAAATTCCCCCAATCGTAACTAATATTTTATTTTAAATCTAAAAAATCTGAATAATATAATAATTTTACTGTAAATTGTAAATATAAATGATATAACATAATATTATTATTTGGTGGTATCTGTTTTTCCGTGTTCCCCCACCGCCAATCGTGACTAATATTTTGCTTTAAATCTAAAAAAATTATACCTAAATTATTATATGTGCTTGACTGGTTTTGTATTTTCGTGATGCGGGTTTAGGGGGAGGTCAATTGTAAGAGGGTGCCTTAAATTAAGACTTAAATTATTATATTAATCATGATTAATCAAGAATTAACCTAAAAAAATTTTCCTACAAGAGACTAACTTAAATAAATCATTAACATGTATCTTTACAAATTATTTAAAACAAAGGGATTTTAAATCTTTAAAATATATCAATAACTCACATAATTCAATTAAACCTATATGGAAGCATAAAATTGATTAAGCATTGAGAAATACATTTCAAAATTAAAGAAAAACTTTCCTTCTTATTTTCTTTTTGTGCCCTACTTCACATAATATATATATTCACCAATATAGCATTTAACTACTCAAACCCTTCCATAACTGGCGGGGGGGCCAAAGTCTCAATCACATTTATCACAATAATTATCACTTAATCATCATACTTTATATATCATTTATTTATCAATAATTCATTACATGCATGAATTTTCCTTTTCATTCATAAATAGTTAATATCAACTTCTCACCCTTGGACATTAAAAACACAAGGGGAGACCATAATAATATTCAAATTCTCAAATCATGCATATAATAATTATTTTTACTTACACAAATATTTTGGCCAATTAATATAAACATAAGCATCAAACTAGATTCTCAAAGGCCCAAAATACACTTCTACTCAACACAAAACTCATAATGCAAGTAGATCAAAAATATATTATCCTAGTTGGCAATATTATAAACTAAACACACATATTAAAACAAAAAAAGAAAGCCTATAGAAGTGATTATTATTGCTTGACCTAATGCACTTTTTCTCTATTCTTCTTAGATGAATTAGCTCTTGTAATATGTTAAAAGAGAGGGGCAGATATAACTACTTAATAACCAAAGTATATCTAAGTTATACAAATGCATGATAATTAATCATAAATGCAAGTAGCTAATAAATTCATTGAGATAACCATGTAAATAATCATATCAAGATCATGTTAATTACATTAGCATCTAATTCATGGGGATAATCTTAAGAAAAAAGTCAAGTACAAAATTGACACGATTGCCTTAGACGTGCCCTTCGATTTCTCCCTCTACTCTTTTTTGATTTCACATGTGAACGCAACTGATAAAGTTAGGATTTTGGCCATGCACCGTGAGGCCCATTGCATTTAAATCTGTCTCTATGCACCACCGTGAATTGACCACATGCCATGGTATGTGGCACATAGGGCGTTCCTTCACTTTTTCTTCCTCTTTTTATGCCCGAATGGCCTGACTTCAACTTGAACCCATATGTTGGGCTAAAAACAAAACCATGTCTACTAATTAGATCTCTCTAACCACACATCTCATTAATTCACTAATATAATCACACTTATTATGCTAGATTGTCATGTTTAATTTTCTCATATGTTACATACAACACAACCTAAAAGGTTTATTGATAAGTTATCTATTGCCCATTCATTACTTCACTGATAAAAAATTCCCAACCAAGAGCTATAAATTTCATTTAAATACAGAGAAACCCATCAATATGAAGGGAATGGGAGAAATTAGGCAATCCTAGCCCCAGCATCAGGTAGAAACCAAATCTCACATGTCAAGGAAGTGCGCACACATAAGCCAAAAAATGTACTTGTGTTCAAATTGACCATAGAAGCATAAATTCTCAATAGCATGGATCTGATAAGCTAAAAAATATACATTCCTTAAATTGCCCGCGTAAGGCTTAGACAACTGAATGGAGAACAAAACAAACCTGGAACGTCAAGGGCATCAAGGTTATTCCACTCTAAATGGAATTGAAACTCACAAAGCCAAACAAATCCTCTAAGAAAGGAAAAAATGAACCCAAAACAAACTAGATACAAATGAACCACAACAAGACAATCGAAGAACAAAACATTCCCCTAAAGGGGCACATGTGGATAACTTTCGATATAAAAGATCAACTATACTATCACGAACACCCGAAAAATCAATCAAAGTAAGGGATGCTAGTGGAATGAATGAAATGGGTGAACAATCAAAAAGGGAAAGGTCGATTATGAGATCCTCAGCCTTGTCCAAAATGAAGATGTCGTTGGGGCAATTCAACTCTTGAGTTCTGTCAAGGGTTAGGCATAGATGTTAGGAGCTTGACCTTGAAGAAGGAAAAGGACCAAAGAAGGAACGGGAAAATTCCATAAATTGAATAGTGAAAGCTACTCTCTCACGATCCCATTTATAAATCACATTTTAAAAAATATATTTAATTCTATTTATAAATTACTATGTAGTTTTTTAAGTAATATTTAAAAAATATTTCTAAAACTACCCTTTATAAGAGAGAAAATATAATATGACATCAGTTTTTAAATTTATGATATATGGACATATTTAAAATTTCACACATTTATTCTTTATATATTTTTTTTGCATTGATATTGATAATATTAGTAAAAATAACTTTAAAAGGAATTGGAGGAGTATTGATTATTGAAGAATGTGGGACCCACATTAGACAAAAATTAAAAAAAAAGACAGCGGATGAACAGTTCTACAATAAAAATTTGATGCGCTTTTTTATATAGTAATAATTACTATTATTATTAATGAAAATGCAAGTTTTGTCATTGAAATGGCTAAACTAGCTCACCTCAAGTTTTACCATTGCATAAGATGTAACTTTTTTATAATAAAAAAAATTAGATGAGTTGAACCTAGAGGTCTCATTAGGACCAAAATATGCCACTAAACTCAAAATATTTAAAAAAATACGTTATTGAGGGATGATTTGCAAACAAGTTTTTCAATAAAAAATATAAATATATAAGATCGTGAGATCAAATTATTATTTTAAAATAATCTTATTGAAAAACTTGTTTAAAAATTCTCACACCAATAAAAAAATTCTCACTCTACAGGTCAAATCATCAATTTTAATCTTATATTGTTTAAAAATAAAAGGTATATATTTTATTTATTTTCCTCTTCGTATTTAATAATCTGTATATTACAAAAAAAAATTCAATCAATAATTTATACTAAAAAATCTGTCATCGTGGAGCTAAAAAAAACTATTTTTGGGTGACACATATTTACATTAATTTAAAAATAATATAATTAAACGGACTCGGTTACTAGCCTAATTACTCCCTTGTCTACAAGTTAAATAACTAAAACTTGAAACTAAAAAAGGTACATGGCATTCTTTTTGCTAAATCACAAGAATTTAGAAAACTTACTGAAAAAAAAATAGCGTACACCAACGCTACATCGCTATTCCTTTAACACATGATTTTCTTCCTTCATGCTAATGCATACTAGGTGTTACAGTCATTTCCAATAACCACCCTTGGAGACAACTCATACATATACTTGGAGACAGATGCGATTAGCTCTTCCAAATCATTAGACGCCTCAATAATTGAATTTAGTTCAGGAGATATCTGAATCATTTGGTCTGCAGCTTCATTTGATTGAAAAGGTGTTTGCATTATAAAGTCTGTAACTTCATTCGAATGGGAGGATGCTCCAATCATCAAGTCTGAAATTTCACTTGACCAAGAAGGTGTTTGAATGATTGAGTTTGAAGCTTCATTTGATTGAAAAGGTATTTCAATCATCAAACCTGTAGATTCATTTGATTGAAAAGGTGTTTGAATCATCAAATCTGTAACTTCATTTGATTGAAAAGGTGTTTGAATCATCAGATCAGTAGATTCATTTATTTGAGAAAATATGTGAATCAAATCTGTAATTTCATTTGATTGGGAAGGTGTTTGAATCGTTGCTATAATTTCATTTGATTGGGAAGGTGTTTGAATCATAAATTCTGTAGTTCATTTGACTGAGAAGGAGTTTGAATCTTCAAGTCTGTACTGATTTTTTTTCTTGTTTTCTTGTCATATTTCTTCATTAGCTTGCATACAACATGAGTTCTCTGCAACATTTAAAAGAATAAGTAAGCGCTCATTTGTTATAATTAGAGCATAAAATGAGAATTGACACCACTCATCAATTCAAAAGAAATTCATCAGAATTGACAGCATCATTGCATGAAAATTAATGATAAAAAGTAGTCATCAAACACTGAGATTTGTTAAAATTGAGTCATAAAGCTAGTCACACAACCAATGACAATATTAACAATAAAATGAGAAAAAAATACCCCCTCCACTGACCACAGTCGCAAGACAGTTTTGAAACTCAGAAAATTCATGAGCACAAAATGAATATCAGCGCACCATATATCCTCCTGTTGATTAATATCTATAGACATATAATTGGTAAAAGTTTACTCCTTCAACATGCAACTAACCTGGTTGAGAGAAAATGTAGCATCATGGTATTCATGAATGACCCAACTTGTTTTAATTCCTTGAGGAAAACGTCCTTCATAAAAAACTAAAATTCTTTGGATTCCAATGACTTTGTTGGTGTCTCTATCCTTAATTTTTCTGTCTCTGCCGGTAACTTTCCAGAAGCCGCGCGATGTTGCCCTGTTCGACCGAGTACTGTTAGAGTACTTATAATCGCGAGGGGCGAAGAAATAGCATTCTGAGTCGTCGAACTCGGTCAACGAAATCGCGGAAGCAGCCAGAGCTGGATAAGAAAGCAAAATCGAACGCCACAAAGCAAGATTGTGAAGTATTTAAAAAAAATAATTTAAAACGAAAGTTAAAGTAGGATACCTAATAAATCGGGGGGCTCGTACTTGCAAACGTCAATCTCAGGGATGGTAGTGTAAATGGATGGATCATCAGCCTTCAATCTGTGGTGAAGGTAGTGAGCGATGAGCTCTTGTTCGGTCGGACGGAATCCGCATCCCACCGGCATACGTTTCCGCTTGGGAGCTGGATCAGCCATGGTTTCGTTGGAAAGGGCAAGGGGAGAATTTGAGGGAGACGATGATGCTTGAGGTGATTGAACAGGAGAGAGGGATCGCACTTGTGAAAGAACTGAGACAGGGCAAGGACTGACTCGATCAACTGAAGCTGTGCCTTCTACACACCGATCCCTCCTTATTTAAGGAGTCATAAATAAGTAGTAAAAATTAAGATAAATTAAAACATGAGGTGAGACTTGAGAGGTCCGGTCCTGTAATATTCGAACACGTATGGAGTCCAGACACACCATCTAAAGCGCACAAGAAGGAGGAGGGATCTTTCAGAAATCTTACCCCGTGTAATACGAAAATTAAAGCTTAGCCTATAATTTATACATTATTCGTTTTAAATTATAAAATATTTTTAAATAAAATTTTATATATTAAAAAAATTTATTAAATATATTTGATAATTTTATTTTTTAAAAAAATATAAATTTTAAAAAGTACTTATTATTTAATATATTAAAAAATAAATAAAAATCAATTATACAAAAAGATAATTTTAAAATAAATTTATTTAATAAAATTTTAATTTTAATTATTTTATATTTTAAAATATCAAACATTTTTAAAAGTAATTTGTAATTTGAAAAAGAGGGAGTATTATATAGGTTGAAAACTTGCATCCGAAGTTTCACTGTTAAGATGACGTCAGCGCAGAAACATGTCACTGAAGATTCTGGAATGGTATCTAGCAAAAGAAATAAACAATAAATGAAAATAAAACTTACATGCCAAGTTTAAAAATTTGCATTTTTTTCAAATCCTTAATATCAGACAAAAGTAATCGAGTGATGGTTGATGTAACATATAAAAACAATTTACATGGCAGGTGAACAGTTTAGTGAGATAATTAATTTTAATTTTATTTATAAAATATTTTATTATTTATTATTTTTATTTTTATGCTCTTATTAAATATTAAAAAAAAAAGAAAATATAATTTTTGAGTTCCTATACCTTGTTCAAATTTTGCTGTAAATTTATACATTTTTTTTAATATTTTAAGTCTATGTACTTTTATGTTTTTATGTTCTAAGCCCCTCAATGAGCAGTGTTATACCTATAACACCTAAAAAGAAAAATATAAAAAATTAGAACACTGAAAAAAAAGTACAGAAATTTAAAGTTATATTTTAAAAAAATTATTAAAATAAGAGTACAATACATTGATTTTTTCTCTATTTTACCTTAATTACAAATATATCTTTTTTATTTTTAAAACTTGCACAAACTTCTCTTAAAATTAAATAATCACAAAATACAAATTAATCTTCTACTTTAAATAATTTATTTCCATCCTCCAAACAAGATGTGTTTGATTCAAGGGAAGAAAAGAGGAAGAGTTTGATGTTACCTTTCTCAATTTCAAGAGTGGAGAGGAGAAAAATAATTATATGTGAATAATTTTGCCTTTATTTTATTAATGTTGAGATAATGAAAAAGTATACCTACATCTTTTGAACTCATCACAAAAGGTATATTGATTAGGGTGTGATAAAATTTTACTCCTCCTGTTCCAATCCTTTTAGTTTGGAGGGGAGAGTTTGGAGGGAAACAGAGAAAAATTTAAAAAAAAATTCTCCTCTCCTAAAATTTTTTCTCCCTTCTCTTCCAATTTTTCAAGCCAAACAAGGGAAGGGGGCAAAATCCCTCATCTTTCCCTTCCAACTAAACACTCCCTTAGTCAACCATTAAGCCATATATGTTGAATTAAAATACTTTTAGTTAAACATAGATATTATCTAATAATCATTTAAGGTGCCCAAAAAATTAATGCATATATTTTCTTTTTACTTTTTTACTTCTATTTTATTTTTATTCATGTAAAATTATTTATTTACTAACATTTTAAAAAATAAATACATAAGTTAGATAAAATAGTATTTTGAAAACACATAAAGAAAAACTCAATGGAACAGGCATTAAATATCATAAGTGATAAATTAATTAATATAATTTGTGTTTATTTTACTTTAAATTTTATTAATTTCAAAAAATAGTATCAAATTATTTATTTATATATTGTAATGATTGCTTGTTTAAAGTTTATTAATTTTTGGGACAGAGTGTACAATTTGATTATGAGGGAAAATTAGTAATTATAAAATTTTTATCACAATTTAAAGTAAAAAATTAAGTATTTTAGAATATTTAATGGAATATTCCTAAATGTGTTAAAAATTAGACTAAACTATATGTTTTGAAAATAGGAGGGAAGTCCCTATAATTTTAGTAAATTAAAAAGGAGGTCATAATATTTTACTGTAAAAATAAATTTTTTTGTTTTTAGTAAAAAATAGATATGAAAACTTATTAAATTTTAAGATAAATTTAATAAAATTTTTAAAAAATTAGGTTTGATAAATATGATAGAAGTGACATATAATAAGATTAAAAAATATTTTATTAATAAATATGACTCTTTTTTCTATTTTAAAAGAGGTGATAGATTGTCCGAGTAAAATTGTTGATCAAACATATTTTTTATTAATTATATAAATATATTAAAAGTTTAAATCTACATAGGAAATATAAATGACATGTCTTCACCTTAATTCATTTTAGAGGATAAATTAAAAAAAATTATAAAATATAGCATGCATGTAAATAAAATTTTAATTGTTAAGCCATAAAATTATAAAAATATTACTTATCGTGTTTGTATAGACAATATTTGTTGCAAACCTCCATTGTGCTTTTGCCATTCCAAATATCACTTAAGGCGTTTTGGTTTTGGAGATCTTGTATGTTATGAAATGAATGAAACGGCGAAACTTGATGCCCAAGTTATAAGAGTTTTCCTGGCTTTTAGCTGTTGAAGTATTGGCCCCACCATCTGTTTCTTATTCCCTCCTTTTTTCATGGTTTGTTATGTTCCCCACTAGGATTTGTTCTCTCATTTCTATGTATGATTAATTGTCAATTTCGAGTACAAGTATCTTTTTACCGGTTACTTATTCCCCATTTTCCATATATATATATATATATATATTGTCGACGTTGATGTTTATTTCTCATTCAAAAATAATTTACAGGCCTTATTTAATGTACCACATAGTTTAAAATGATTTTTTAATAATATGTTTATTTGAGAGGATCAATTTGCCTAAGCACTTTCGTGTTTTTATATGAAAAAAAAAAAAACTTGCCGTAGGCACTGCAATATCTATACTTTTGTCACTTCTCAGATTATTTTTTTTGTCAAATCTTTCAATAAAAATAAGATAAATTAAAAGATTATTTTAAATAACTCAACACAATAATATCTATTTTTTTAACACGAGGATAAACACGTCATTTTGAATACACAAAGTGAGATTTTCATATCTAACTTAATTGTTAATATTATTTAACATTATCACATATTTATTTTTATTTGAATATATATATTATTTGACATTTTCATATCGAACAATATTCCGTGTACAACACAATTTTTTTTCCATAGTAGTAGTTTATACTAATGAACATGTTAATCAACCAAATATAAACCTAGATATACAAAATCGTATTATGTAAACTTCATATAATCAGAAGTAAGTTGCGACTTACAACAGACCAACCCCACTATATAAAACCCTCGTTCAACGAGTTAAATCATTAAAAGATACACCTCAATTCTTTACCCTTTAGTTCAACATATATAGTCTTCCTTTCTTCACGTGTTAATGCATATCTGATGCTGTTATCATTTCCAATTACTCTTGCTCATCCAATCTTGGAGACAACAGCAAGAATGAACTGAAATCAAATCCTTCTTCTGGCTCCTGGGGCGTCTCATCGGTTGAATCAAAATCAAGTGGTGTTTGAATCATTGAATCCATGTTTGAGAAATTGTGTATCTAAATCATATATTAGTCAGATATTAGTTCTCATTCTATTTCACATCCTCCTACAGCAAGATATATGAACATTATAGTTAACAATACCTCGAGAATTTGTCTGCGTACATCTGGAATCACATGCGTAGTTGCTTGATTTTCATACTCAACAACCATATGGTTACTTGGCTCCCTTCTATCACAAACTAGTTCATCCATCTTTCCTTTTGTTTCATTCTTGATTTTCTTCATTAACCTACATAGAACATGGGTTCTCTGCAACATGGAAGAATAATCAAGAATTATTCATTTGTCAGAATTAGAGCATAGATCTCTGATAGAAATGATGAAGCAATATAAACATGAAGTCACACTTAACTATGTTCCCGGCATGAAAAACTAGTGATAGACATTAGTCACCAAAACAATGTGATGCGTCAAAATCAAAAGAGTGACACAGACAATAACTTTGTCGACTGTAAAGCCAGAACTAGATAGAAAAAACTCCTAATAATAGTTGTAATAAGACAGCTTTATATCAGAAAATTCATGTTTTTAATAACTTACTTTGGCTTTCTAAGAAAAAATCTATAAACATATACATGATGAAGTTTCCACTTTCCATATGTAATGCTAGCAAGGAAACATAGGATATAAGCATACCTGGTTTGGAGGAAAGAGAGCATCATGATATTCATGAATAACCCAATTAGTTTTAATGCCAGGAACACGACCTTCGTAGAAAACCAGAGTCTTCTTGGTCCCAATGACATTGTGAGTGCCTCGTTCTGTAATTTTCCTTTCCTTACCGGTGGCTTTCCAGTAGCCCAGCGACGTTGCCCTATTAGATCGAGTACTACTACCAGGGTACTTGTAATCGAGATGACTGAAGAAAAACCATTGTGGGTCGTCCGACTTGATCAGCGAAAACTCTGAAACAGCAGAAGTTGGAGGAAGAACCGAAATTTAAGAAGGCAAAATCAAACGGCACGACATAAGATGATTGGAGCATGAAAAATTTAAAAGAGAAACTGCAGGTATCGGCGTGTAGTAGTAGGAGAAGAGATCTGGGGCTTGGATTGTGATACCTGGTAATTCCCAGGGTTCGTGCTTGCAAACGTCGATCTCAGGGATGGTGTCGTGAATGGAAGGATCATCGTTCATGAATTTGTGGTGGAGGCAGTGACGGACGAGCTCTTCATCGGTGGGAAGGAATCTGAAACCCTTAGGCATGTCTTGCAGCAGAGGAGCTGGGTCCGCCATGGTTGGCTCTCAACTATGATTAATCAGATAAGCTTGCTGCAGATGAAGCTTTCAGAGAGGGAGAGGGAGAGGGAGAGAGAGCACTGCTTGCAGCGTCGTTGTGTGTTTGGAACTTTGGATGCAATAATAAATGGAAGGCAACACGCTTTAGCTGATCACTTTAAAGCATAACTCACAGCTCTCTTTAATGAGAGGGCAATAAATAAGTGGTGAAAATTAAATTAAAATGAGGTTAGCATTTGTTTCTATTAATTACAAACACATCGTTAGTATTCATGCAGCATATTTTTCTCAAGGACATAAAGTTTAAAATTAAATAAATAGTAGATGAAATAATAAATTAATGAACAATTTGTGGCGTAAGGAATAATTTTGGAAGCTTCGGTTGGTGTAAAACGGTGTAACTTGACACTTTTCCACCTGAAATATAAGATTTAGTTGAGAAATTTTACTTTAGTGGCAATGTTAGACATCAATCTTTTTTTTTTTATCTCCCTTATTTAATATTTTTTCCATACAACCTTCATTAATTTTCAATTTTACTCTATTTTTCACATTTAATACCTTCATTAAGAAAGTATTATTTTCTTTGTCTAAATTTATAAAAAATTTTAGATAAAGTTATGCAATAAAGTTCATTAAATATGCACAAAATTATAAATTTTCAAAAATCTCTTCATTTAATATTTTTTGGTATTGAGCTCAAGACCTCTAAATTAAATCTTCGAGAATTTATCATGAAGATTAAATTTGTTAGTTCTTCATTTAATATTTTATTTATGAAAGAATATTAAAAAGGAATAATAATGAATCTTCTAATTAAGTTGTCTTTTATTATCAAAGAGTTATTAATAAAATTTTATTTTATTAAGGTGTTTTATAAAGTGGGACGAAATAGTGTAATAAAAATGACATAGCACATATTTATATAATAATAATAATAATAATAATAAATATTCTCTTTGATCAAAACTATAAGACATTTTATCTAATTTGTACCTGGTTACTTTCACTAAGTTAGTTAGTGAAATTTAAAATTATTTATTTTTTATATTTATTATTATTTAACATTTGCACTTATTTAATAGAATATTTTAATTTAAAAATCTTATGGATTACACTATTTAATTATGATTTTTTAAAAAATTATTACTTACATGTGGAAAGACCAAAATAATTTATATTTCTTAACATGATATTTAAGAAAAAGTGTTTTATAATATTAAACAATGAATAATAAAGTTAACTAATTTACTTAATTATAGTTAATTAAATATTAAATATTATGCAAGAAAGAGGAGTAATACCAGTGGTGTGGCCGTGTGTGGATGCATAACTTCATGCATGGATGAAGTGGGAGGACTTGTAACGATGCGACACGTAATGAGGAGAGGGGTCCCACCATCCAAAGCGTGTCCGTACAAAAGGCTCCGCGTTTTCTGATTTCGAGACTGGACGCTTCCCCCTTGGTTCCTTCTCACCACTTTTTTCTCTTTTTTGTTTTCAAATTCCATTCCACGACCTCTTTCGATCACCTTTCTTTCTTCCTTTCTCTACACTGTAATTTGAAATTAAAGCCAAGACCAGTCTTATTCTTTTATGAACCTTAGGCATCTGTGATCACTGATCTGTACCAAACTTACATATTATAACCAATGAAGCCTTCCATGCCTTGTTCGTACATCTGTTCTTTTTCCTCCAAAGCTTCACAGGCACCATTTTTAGATAAAACGCAGCATCGATGTGTTGAACCAATTTTTCTGAGACGCGTCAAGTCAATTGACCTTGCAAGGCCTTGTTTGACTTCGACAATCACTTGCACATCCATCATTCTTAAACTAGGAACGAAGGCATCAATGGAATCTCCCACGCCCTGATTAAGGGTTTGCTTGGTTTCCGTTCTTAATTTTTTTATTTTAAAAATTATTTCATAATATAGTTTCAAAATTTTTTTTAAAACAAAATAAAATAATTTTTTATTATGTTAATTTACAAACAATTTTAAAATTAAAAAATTGATTGATAGTAATGATTATAGGTGCTTAATGATGGTGAGGTATGATAAAAAAATAGTCAAGATAATTGTAATTTTCAACAATTAAACATGGTATATTTTGAGAGCAAAAAAAAAAAAAACAAAATTGTTTCAATTTTTTTAAAAATCAAAAAATTAAAACAGTTTTATAAATAACATTTAACCAAGCAAGTTTTTAAAATTTTCAATTTTTAAAAATAGAAAACAAATATGCTCTAAAATTCCCCTTATAATGACTCTGTATTTCGGATGCTAGTAATGTTTTAGAGCAGGACGTGTAGCCGAAGATTCTAGAATGAAATCTCGCTCAAAAAATAAAAACAAACAAAGAAGGCTTGCAGCCTTAGATTAAAAATTTAGGCATTATTGTGAATCTGTAGAAACATTTTAAGAGGTTCTATCGCTCGCCAGGTGCCTTTCTATATGCGAACCCCATCATCATTGCCAACCGTGTTTTCTTTCATAAATAAAACGAATCTTTTGAGTTAGTGTCTAATGTTTCTTTCTTTTTGATGGTTTGTTATGCTCCCCACCATCATTCAGATTATATTTAATTTCCCTTCCTTTCTCTGGATAACAAATTTATTATCAAATTCAGTTTCACTGTTCACATCTTCAAGAATCTAGTCGATCGGTATAATTAAAATTAATTAAAATTTTCAATTTTCAATTTCTTTTTTTAAAAACAAAACATCAAATATCGTGTAGAAGAATCGACTAATACAAATTTGGCACATGCCAAGGCAGTAATGATGTCATTAAGCAAATGAAGGTGTTAGCAAAGTTTCTTTTTAAAAAATATTTATGTATATTGTATAAAATAAAAAATTTGATAAAAAAATATGACAACAAACACTTAAAATTAAGTATCTACGTGACAAATGTTAATTCCGCTGAGAAAGATGGATTTCATCATTTTGTGACCCCTTTTTGAATACAACATTTTGGACCCCTTTTGAATAAGTTGAATATTATGCATGTTATCAAAGATATAGTTAATTAAAGTCCTAAAAAGATATGCCCATTAGAACTAAACAGGAAAAAGCCTAAAAGGAAACTAGGAAAGTGTCACCCCCTTCACATCTCTTGCCCACTAACAAGTAACAACGAAGGCATCAATGGAATCTCCCACATGATGACATTTCTCCAAGAATGACTCAGTATTGAGATGTTTCAGAACAGAAGATGTAGCTGAAGATTCTAGAATGGCATCTCACCCCAAAAAAATAACCTTAAAAGGAAAAATAGGGGAAAGCTTGCCGTCGAAGTTTGAAAATTTGAATATTGTGAATTAATTTCTGGGAACATTTTAAGAGCCGTGGCCGAGTCTCTTTCTATGTGCTAACGTTGACACCACCATCCATCAGTCTCCTTTCAAAAATAAGGAAGCCAATCTTTGGAGTCAGTTTGTCATATTTTCTTTCTTTTTGGTGCATGGTTTGTTATTATGTTCCCCACCTTCATAAAGATTTTGATCCCATTCGTTCCTGGATAAGAATTTGATTTTCAAATTTAGTTCATTGATTGGTGTTTTATTAAGCCATCACCTCTTTAAAAATTTAAAAATAACCATCTTTTATCGGTTCATTCTAGGCGTCCAAATATTAATATATCAATGTTTGACACATTCTAATATATACAGTGTATTAATATAAAATTTATTGAAAATTACTTTAATTTATTTACATGTTATGAATAACTTAATTTTTCTAGTTTCATTTAAAAAAAATCATTTTTATATAACACGCGCATCACTTTTGGAAAATAAAAAAACCTTTAATCGTGGACTGTTTAGACTGGTCATGTTTTTATTTAAAAAATGATAATAAATACTTAAAATAATAATTATTTTTTATCCCAGTTATATTTAAATGAGTCTACAACTTCTATTGGGTTTTCCAAAGACTACAAGTCTCACGTTGTGTTCTTTAAGTTAGTCTGCATATATGGAGTATATGAATTATGTTGTGTGAAGAAAAATTGAAAAATAGAATGTAGAAGGGAAATAGGAATTGTCGTTTTTGCATAGGCATTAATTCTCCCCTCCCACTGCCCAAAAAAATTTCGCCAGGGATCACCAAAATTGGTTAGGAATTAGGATTCTGCATAAGGTTGATTCCACACAAGATACAAACAGCACTTCACAGGGATGCTTTTACCGGCTTTACACATTACTTAAACATAAAGTTACATAACATATACTTGCACTTGGAAAAACAGCATTTAGGTAGGATAAGACAGTATTTTTATGAGTAATTGCCACAAACCAATCTTCACGTCAAGCTTGATTGTTGCTGCCTGCTTGATCTTCAAATTACTGTCCTGAATGCCCATTGAAACACGCGGTTTTTCCATGAGGGGAAATGTGCTTTGTGCAAGTAAGGCACTAACAGAACTTCCCATATGATAGCATTTCCCAAATAATGACTACAAACAGGAAAAGCCCTATAACAACATTGCCAAGATATACGGATGGTGGACTAAGGTTTTGGCTTGATAATGGTGTCTCTAGTTGAATGAAAGAACTCCTCCTATTGACACCAGAGGATTGACTACTTGGGGCTTTTAAAGTGTTTCTTTTATCAGTAACCTGAGCTACTCCCTTATCATTGTTTGAATGCTCCGGTGTTTCTTTCTGAGCCTGCAGAATACATCATATGGAACATGGGATATCATCAAGAAGTTAAAACAAGATTGTCTTCCAGTGAAGCATATCTGTCAAGGCAGGTACTTGTATTTTCTAGTAAAGCACAACTTGGTTTTCTCAGATTCAGATCCCTCTGAAGCACTTCATCATGATGAAGCAGACGAAGATAGGAACAAAATAGTGGGTCTCACCTTTACGCATGTAGACCCCAGCAAGAGATACCCACTATTTTCTTCCATCTCCCTATACTTCACCAAGATGAAGCATCTCTGTTGAGACAAGCTTTTGCTTTTTTCTCGGTTTGATTTACCGAAATTTAGATCCACTCGAATACTTCATCACGATAAAGTAAACAAAGATAAGAACAGAATAGTGGGTCATTCATCTCCACATGTCGACCTCATAAAAGTCAGACCCACTATTGTCTTCCTATCATTCTTACTTTACTAAAATGAAGCATCTCTGTCAAGACGAGCTTCTGCTCATTTTCCTTGTAAAGCACGGCTGGGTTTTCTCAAATTCAGATCCTCTAAAATACTTCATCGTGATGAAGCAGAGATAGGAACATAATAGTGAGTCTCACCTCTGCACATGCAGAACCCATATAAGTGAGAGCCACTATTTTCTTCCTATCTCTCTATATACTTCACCCCCTGAAGTATTTCAGGGATCCACATTTGGTTTTCTCACCTCATGATATGCTGCTTTGGTTGAAGACTTTCTATGTGTTTGAGATCTTCTTGCTCCATATCTCAGTGACACAGAGCTGGCTGATCTTGGTTGATATTGGGTTTTGCATGCCTTTATAGTGGAAGCAGAGCTAACAAGCTCTATCTGACTGATCTCAAGTGGCCTAGCAAGGGTTGAATCACCAGAGGAAGAGTCCAAATCATCTTGAAAGGATCTGCCCTTTTTCCCTCGTTTTGCTTGGTTGGAAGAAAGTTCAGAGCTGTTAACCTTTGCCATTAGCATGCATTCCCTTGGACCATCAGTTTTATACGATTTGGTTGAAGTTTCAATATTTCCATACTGTAACAATTTCCAAAGAGAATATATAGACTATGTTAATCCTTCATGTTGCCCAAAACGAGATCCGATGAAAAGAGGCGTACTACTGAAGTATAATGTGCCAGAAATAAGTAAACCATTGGTCACGGCAGAGAGCAGAACAACAACACTAGTTCCAAGCTAAAATTTCACTCACTTTTCAGAACATGTAGGAGAAAATCACTTTACATTGTAGTAATGCTAGGAAATGCACATCACTACAATGCCCTCAATGATTTTAACCTATAGAAAGATGTTTTGTTTATGAGATATTGGAGATACAATCTCCAACACCATTAGGAGAATGCATCTTTACCTGTGCATAGACAACTTCTGCATCTGTGTCACTGCTTCCATAGTACACCTTTCTCAATGCTTCTGAGGGGGTGAACTCATGGACAAAAGCATGTCCCACTCCCTCACTCTGGAATATTTCCTCATCAGCTAAGATTGAATTCACAAACTCATCAGCATTTTCTTCTTCCTCCTCGGTAGTTTCAAAAGGCAGGTTTATACTGCTGTCATCATTTCCAGTATAGGAATTGAGCCTCGGGGAAAATGGGAAAGAAAATTCCTGCTCATTGACTATTGGAGAAAAATGTAATGGGCTTAAGTCAACTTCATCCACTGGGTGTTCTGTCTGAAAAAATGGATCCAGATTGATTGAAGACAAAGAGTACACCTAAAAAATATATCAAGCAATTGCTCTCAGCGCATTTAGCCCACAAAAGCATAATTTAAGAACTATTTCTCCATGTGTCCAAGAATTCTTTTGCTTACATTTGGAATTGTAGTCTCACTAGCTAGATTTTCATGGTCAGAAGACATATAGCGACTCGGCTCCCCTTCATCACAGATTAACGCATCGGTTCTCCCTTCTGCTTTCTCAGGTTTCTTCATTAACTTGCATAGAACAAAGGTTCTCTGCAAAATTTGAAAGAATAACCAGGCACTCATTTGTTTGAAACAAAGCACAGTAAAAGCCAGGACAAACAAAGCTCATCCTTCAAAGTCGGGAATCTTGTTGCCTAAAAATTTCCATTACAACAAGAACTGGAAAAGAATATCGGTTAGATAGAATATAGAAACATCAAATCCAACCACGTTAGGTAGTATTGACTGTTTTTTTTTTTTTTTCACGCAATCAATGATAAACATTTCTGATCAAATACTGTGATGTAAGAAAATTGAGTCATAAAATGAGAACAAAGTAAATGCTCATGGTATTCCAGTATGTAGAGTCGTAAGTTGTAACAACTACCAGAACTAATCATATTTCTAAGAAACCCACAAAATCCATGTCTTAATAACGTAAGCGCAAAATGGATATACAATGTCAAATCAAGGAGGCATGGATAATGCCGAGAAACATTCCAATCCAAACACTCCATGTGCCCACTAATTCTTGTGCTTACTATTTCTAAACACATAATCGTAGAAGTTTCACTCCAGTCAGAACATGAAGACTATAAAGCCTACCTGGTCAACAGGAAATGTTACAGCCTGATATTCATGAATGACCCAGTTGGTCTTGACGCCATTAGGAACACGACCTCTATGGAAAACAAGAGTCTTCTTGGTCCCAATGATCTCGTCGGTACCACGAGCCTTAATGTCCCTGTCTTTTCCAGTGGCTTTCCAGAAGCCACGCGATGTTGCCCTGTTAGACCGAGTACTGTTTGAGTACTTGAAATCACGAGGACTGAAGAAAAACCACTCTGGGTCATCCGACTTGATCATCGAAAACTCTAAAACAGCACAAGTAGACATAGAGAAGAAAAGGCAAAATCAAACGCCATTGCGTAAGATCATTAAAGTACAAAAATTAAAATAAAAAACACATATGCCAATTTAGAAAGGGGTTATACCAGGTAAATCCCAGGGCTCGTGCTTACAAATGTCAATCTCACGGATAATCTGAAGAGCCGAATTATCACCGTTCAATTTGTTCTTCAGGTAGTGACCCACGAGTTCTTCATCTGTTGGACGGAATCTATACCCCACTGGCATATATTCCTGCACAGAAACTGCGTTCGCCATTGAAACTTGAGAGAGGGGGGGGGGTGCTCGTGACTCGTGAGCTCTGCCTTCGCTATTTGTAACGCGCAGTTGCGAGCGTAGAAGGCATTGACTGACTCTGCTTCATTTGTGGCTTAACCTGGAAGCTACATTTTAAAAAATAATAAATAATAGAAGATGAATAATAAAATAATAAAAACTTATATTTATCATTGCCGAGATAAAAATATATTCATATTTATTGTTTCTTTTGATCTTAATAAAAATATTTTCATTGCCTAAAATTAATGTAATAGTAATAACATGACATTTGTTGCCGGTCTCTTAATAAAAGTTATTTGCATGAAGTTAACATGATTCAATTAACTCATCAAAAAAGAAATTCGTCGGGGAAAAGAATACAATGAGGTATAATAAAAATCAATATTCAAGTCCTTATATAAAAACAAAAAATATAAAGATTCAATAGATACCCTGCACTGATTTTACATACCATTGATATGTTTGACAAATTACAAATTGTAGTAAATGGAAATGGTTGAAAGACATGGAGTCATCTACATATACATGTTTACTAAGCCCCTATTTGAATTTTAGTTTATATTTAACAAAAATACATTTGAATAATCTAATTATTTATTAAATTTGGCAAAAATATATTATAGATAGGGCTTAGATATACTTTTGAGAATTACTCAAACATGTACTAAAATTGTGACAGGTCATATAAAAATACTTTGGTTTTCGTGTAGGGTAACGAGTGGTGAGAAATTTTGTTAACTAAAAAAAAAGTAATATACGGGTATTTTAATAATTTAACATAAAATATATTTTTTATTTAAAAATATAAAACATTTTTAATTGAATCCCACCCTCACCTACTTTCAAACTAACCTTATCTTTTTATATTTATCTCTATTAAATACTCTATAATAAATATAAAGTTATTCATTAATAGGGATACTTAAAAAAAAGATAATTATTATATTTTGAAAGACTAAAAATGTCTTATATTTTTTAAATTCAACTCCTCAAAAAATAATGTTTTACATTTTTTATAAAATAATGAATTTAAAATTTGGGTATATTATGTACATCTATCTTCTATTGTAAACATCGTGATGGTTTCATACCTCCTATTTTATTTTTGTATAGTAATTTTTTAAATATTATATAATAAATAAAAAATTATAAATTATAAATATTTTATAATAGAAAAAGGATGGTTTGGGATTCACGGGGAAAATGAGCGGTGAATATTAAATTGACACTAAACAATATTTCTTTTGAATTATAATATAAGATATTTTTTAAAAGTCTTACTTAATTTAAAATATAAGGCATTGATAATTTTTATAATTATTTTTAATTATATTTTATTTTATTTATTACATTTTTTGAAAAAGAATCTTTAATTGTGAACCGGATAAATAATTGTAACCAAAGAAGCTTCCTCCTATGTGTAATTTCACGCTAGTAGTTTCAACAAATAATTTTATAGGTTTGAATTTTTATGCTTATAAGAGTTGATAATATGTAATATATTTGTAATTTCTAAAAACACGTTAAAATAATAAAAGTGAAAATGGGATGTAAATTTTATATCATTCGATTTTTTAAATATATAAAAGCCTAAAGTCTGCTTTAGAATTTTAATAATTTTATAAAGTATTTTTTTGGGTTCTTCAATACTAATACTATGACATACACCACCAAAAAATTACGCATTAAATCTTAAATATTGATAAAATAATACTAAATATTGACATATTAAATTTAATTTTTTAAAAAAAAATAATTATGTTTGATATAAAAAATAATTATTTAAAATTAATAATATTAAATTAAAGGATTGAAAAGTACTTTATAATATTAAGGAATCAAATGAAAATGTTTTATAATGTTACAGGGCCAAAAATAATTTGTGCTTTGTGTTTTAATATTAATTAAATTAATATTAAATGGAAATTGACGAGGTGACGTAGACATTCTCAGGTCATAAAGGGAAAACACATATCACCTTCTTGAAACCGTGTTTCTTTTGGAATAAACAAGGCCGACGCGTGAGGGAATGCTCGCGCTGGATGGGACGTTTCCCCATCACTCTTTTATATTTTGCTTTGGATAATCTACGACACCATCACACAATCATCATTAATTTAAAGAAATGCATATTAACCTTATTTTTTATTCTGTAATATAAAAAATGCGAATATTTTTTTTGTCCGGTCAATTTTTAGTCAGGGAAAGAGAATAAGCAGTTTCCCATAATATTTGTTCTGCGAGGTAGAGGTGTAAATAATAGAACCCAAGCTTATTTTATTTTGATGTTAAATAAAAAGATCGGTTGGATGTGGAATATATCGTATCATTGACAAAAATAGACATAGAAAATCTTCTATTCAATTAATAGTGACATATTTATCATACTTTTTAACCCACATGCTTATGAAGTTAAATATAAATTGTGATCATTTCGAGTAAAATTTAAAATTAGTGATATATGATACTAGTAAAAAGCTAAAAACTTATAATAGGAATACGTTATTTAAAGAACTTGTTTGAAAAAACAGGATCAATTCTTGGTATTAAAAAAGGATCATTTTGAAAGTGAAATAGATAAAGGGCTTGAAGATTATGAGTTATTAATAAAGTAAAAAGTAGATAGTAACTTTTTTAACGAGGTGAATAATGACCAGCAGGTTTCCATGCGTTGCCTCTTGTGCCTTTATATATTCCCTTCATCCTATTTATAAATAATAACTTTCAGTATGTTTTATTAAAATAAAAAAATCTTATATCTTATTAACTTTGTCTTAAAATTTAATAAGTTTTCAGCTTTACTTTCAATAAATATTCTTAAATCTCATTACTAATATTTTTATTCAAAACATTTATTAAGAAAAAAATGTAAAAAAGAGCATTAACATTTAGCAAGTATTTTTTAATAAAATTAAATTATTTTTTCTTTCTGTTTTATAAATAATATCAAAGGAGCATGTCTCAAGTTTTTGTATTAGTGACTATTGAATTTTGATTTATCCTCGAATGTTAGGTACTTTCTACTTTATTGCTAAAGCCCTGTTTGGTTGGAGGGGAGGGGAGGGGGAAAATTTTCCCTCCCCTCCCCTCCAAAGCCTCCCCTCCAAATTGGGGGAAGCTCTCCTCCCCTTCCCTCCCCCTACTCCCCCTCCCCCTCCCCCTCCCTCCCTCCTCTCCCCTCCCCTCTCCTTCCCTCCCCTCGAACCAAACAGACCCTAAAATAAAACCCGGAAGCCTATATTATTATTTTTTTAAGAAAAATTCTGGGAAGCAAACAAGATAAAAAAATTTATTTGGTCTTATTTTATTAATTACTTTCACTCTATTTTATTGGAATTAACAAATTTTAAATTTTATTATTCTATATTAAAATTTAATAAATTTTAATCTCAACATCTAATCAGGATAAAAATAATTATTTTTAATAAATTTTTGTAGCATTTAATAAGGGCATAAAAGTAAAAGTAAACATAATAAAATAGTAAAGTGTTATATAAATATGATCAAAATTAATTCTCCCTCTTTGACCTATAAATAGAACAAAAAGAGTAGTTGATAAGGAGAAAAGTATTTTCCAAAATGAAAATATAAAATACACGTCTCATTTATAAGTATATTTTAATTTCTTTTAGAAGGTGCTTTTCCTGTATACTAAACATGCATTTGGGGCCGGGGGAAAAACATGCATTTGGTGTCTTAGCTATGAAAAAGGGTTAAGATATATTTTACCCTAAAAATATTTTTCAATGAGCACTCAGCACCTTAATATTTTTGTTGGAGCAATTTTGCCATTAAAATTATTAAAACGGAGCATTTCTGCCCTTTTCAAAATTTTAATATTGACGTCAAACGTTGACTCTTAAAAATTTGATGGAAAGGAAAAAAATATTCTATTTTAATAACTTAAATGCTCTGTTTGGTTGAGAAGAAAATATGGGAGGAAAAAAAACATGGGGAGAAAATAATTTTTTTCCTGATTGGATAGGAAAGAAAAAAATAAGAAGAAAGAAAAAGTAGGAAGAAAGTAGAGTATGGGATCCATTCTATTTTTCTTTCAACTTTTCTCTTCAAAAGTGGAGAGATTTTAGGAGTAAAATTTTTTTTACAGCATTTGCCCTCTCGCTTCCTCTTATCTATTCCGCTTTTTGACTCTCCTCTATTTTCATTTGTGCACGTCTCAACTCAGGAGGCTCCCGTCTTCGACCAACCCAGCCTGAGTATTGTCTTCATTAATGGCTTCTTCTTCTTCTTCGACATGCTCTCGCTACAATTCCTACACTCATCAAGGTTAGTTCTTCCTCTTCTTTAACATCATCTTCATCCCTGTCAAATTCGATATATTCTTGTATTTTTAATGTATTTCCTAGCATCATTTTCATTCTTATTTCTTTAACATTTAACACATCTATTATGGCCATTTTTTGAAATTTTAATTTGATAAATGATGGAAGAAAAAGCAAGATAGGAATTCTGCATAGTTTTCAATTTGAGTTCCATGAAGTAATTTTTTCCGTTCCAGTTTAGACCATTCATCAATATTTACAATAGGGAGATGCTAATTTTTTTACTTCTCAATATAGTCCTTTTGTCTTCTCAGGATAATATAAAAGTAATGAATGATTTTGATGGACTGATTTCATGATGTTGGATTGTGTGTTTTTCTTTCTTCATACTCGACTAGTGTGAAGTTTTTTCATGGGTTTGCAAATTCTATATTAGAACTATTTTAATCTAATATAAGGTTTTCTTTTATATTAGATCATCATTGATTGATACAAGCTAGGAAAGATTCTAAAAACTAAAGGCAAACAATCATAACGTAAAGGGGTAAATGATAAATAAACATAACATGCTAGACAAGTGAGGGCTTGAGTCTTGAGATGTTGCAATTCATTCCTACAAACATTTGGATATGCATTTTTTTTTCTTGTGTTTTGCCCTCTTGAATATATGTGTGTGTAGGTTTTGAAACAAGTTGCAAGTAGAGGGAAGTCTTGGTTTTAAATTTTTTCAAAGAGACATTGATACATACTATTCAATGGGATGAATTTAAAGACAA